AATTGACTGTGTGCTCGTTTGCCTTTCAATCTTTACGTGGTAGAGCCATGCTGCAGTTATATTAGTAGTATAGTTGTAGCACGAATGGGTCGGCTCGACCGGGGCAGGACACAATACCAGCGTCAAATAGCAGCGTAATGCTGCTGTGTTTCGTATGGTGAGTGTAGAGAACCGGATACCCTTTTTACTGGAATCGAGGCATTCCACCTTAGTCCTCACGGATGACAACGCATTTCTATTTTGATTCGTAATAGAGGATAGATGTAGACGTCTATGGGCCGCAGCAACCACTTACCATCAGGTAACCACCACCCTTATCCTATAAAAAATGTTATAAAATAATTTTTGAAGTCGTGATCCCAACTCAATGATTTAAGACAAATATTCTAGACCTACTACATATCTGAAATTAAGAAACAAAGCAAAATACTCCTGTATACCCACCCTAGGATCCACCCTATTCTATTATCGCCGATAATATAGCCCTTTAAAAATAAAAAGAGAAAGTTATATTGAGTGTCTTAAACAAATATCGTCCATATATCTATAATACAACAAATCATTTGCTGTCTATTATTAGTCTCGCAAAAATTCGAAACTTTTCTTTTTCGATTCGATTTTGATGATTTTTTTGTGTATTTTTTTTTTGTTTTGTTTGAGCCTGGATGATTTAAACATATTTTAATTGAACTCGGTAGGTGCAGCTGTTGGCAAGATATCAGCCGTGCGAAGCCGGGGCGGATTGCTAGTTAATAATAAAAATAGTTGCAGATTTTATAATAATTGGACAGAGAGAAGGTTTGTACAGAGAGAAAGAGAGAGAGGAAGGGATAAGGAAAGAGAGAGAGAGAGGAGAGAGAGAGAGGGAAAAAGACAGAGAGGGAGATGGAGCAAGAGAGAGGGAGAGAGAGAGAGAGAGGGAGAGAGAGAGAGAGAGAGAAATAGTCTCCTTATATCATACAAAGAAAGTAAAAAAGTGTGAACCATCATTTTTTCTTTATTTTATTGGAGGGTATAACCGTGTTTTCGTTTCCTTGCAATGTTTATTTTACAGTAGTAAAAAATGGCAATTGCATTTATTGTATTTGAAATGCATTTAATTCGTTGCTTAGTCATACGGCATAGATTGCGTTATTATAAAGGCCGGTTATAATTAACATTGCGTACGTTGTCCAATTCAAATATATCATAGGCATTGCGCGGGCTGATCGTTAAGTGCGTTTTAACCTTTATAATGTATTCAATTATTAGAGTTTTTGTTATACTCTATTTCAGTCAGAAGTTTATTAATAGGTCCGGGCGATATATTTACAACAAATTCCTTGAAAATATACAAAATTGATCTTTCGTCAAAGTTATAAAAGATTGTTTAAAACGGAATTATATTGATAAATATAATCGTAATAATCATTAGAAAATATGAATTATAATAATCCCTACAAAAGTGGTGACCGCTACAAAACCGTTTTTTTAAATTGTTTTAGCTCAAGAGTTCACTGCCAAACAATGCCTCCCCCATTGATTGCCTCATGGAAGCCCCCCCCCCATGCAAGCGGGGGGGGGCAATATTTTCCATGTTGCCTCGCTCCAAACCAAGCGCGCAACCGCGGTCCCGGAGATTAATCTGGTTATCCCGTTTATCCACCCAAAAAATCCACCGGAGGATGGATACTCGGAAACGCGTGTTCATCTTACCACCCCGGGCGGGGTGGATAATTGGAATTTCCTTTTATTTGTTCTTTCGACTTTTTACCCCATGTACAGTTCAACACATACATTTAAATTATTAATTAATTTTAATAACCATTTTTTTTTTTTTTTTTACTTATTTTTAATTCCCGGGGGGGGGGGTTTTTTTTTTTTTGGGGCCCTTGGGGAAAACGAAGTGGGGGGGGCGGCTAAACTTAATCAAAAATCTTATTGCGTATTACCGGTTACAGCCTATTAAAGTCCATTTTCTGTTTTTTTAGAAGAGGGGGCAAACGAGCATGCGGCTCACCTGTCGTTAAGTGACTACCGCCGCCCATGATCAACCGCAACACCAGGGGAATTGCAGGTGCGTTGCCGGCCCTTTAGAAAGGAGTAAGCTAAGCTAAGTCCATGCATACGTTTAAATCAAATTATCTTATCTCATCTTAAATCAAATTAAACTTTCTCGTTTTTAAATATTATTATTGCGTAATTTATAAATTATAAAATATTTCCAGGCAATTACGAACACTAGTTTTATTATTAAAAAGATGTAACTTGATATCCTGAATTAATTCGTCGCTTTTTATGTACATTTGAAATCGTTGTCTTCGTTTATTTGATACCATCTATCACTTAGTGATCGATGTTTGATACAATAGATGTGTTAGCGATGAACTGGGTGTTTTTGCAAGCATTCCAAAAACACTACTATTGGACGTTTATCTTTAACTTCATTTTAAATTATTTTATGCCAAGATTCCAATGAATCTGTAATCCTGTGAGATACGATTTTATTTCAGCGTTGGCTTTTCAAAAAAGAAGTATGTACATATTTTTATAGGTAATATATTGACTTAAAAGTGGTAGAACGGTATCTTAAAATTGAGTAGCGTTTATACGAGTATACTATTTGGGCGTTAGAGACTATAGTGTCTAGCCTCACACTTTCGCCAAGTAACTTTACCGTTGTTTTCTGTTTATGAAATGAATAAAGTACAATTCTAAAATACCAAAGGAACATTGTACTATGGACAGAGAAAAGGGACAATTTTTAGTGAATCTTGAAAAAGTTAAATTGCCATATTTAAACGACATAGATGGCGCTAATTCATATTTATAAAATTAAAGATTTGCTATCCGTAATGATATTCGAGAGAGCTATTTCATAATTCGTACTATAATTATTTATCACTGATAAAGTCCCAAAAAATATACAAGGTCACTCTATTACCAAGTTTAAATATTTAAGTAAACAAAACTGTATAAAAAGGATTATTATATTATAATGAATGTTTGATGATGACCCTTGGGAATGAGATGGTCGCTTCCAAGATGTTTCTAAAATAAATTTTGTTACCATTCACATAGTAACATTTATTTTTTAAAGTCCCGCTGGGTTTCTTGCTGGTTTTTCCCAGGATAGAGGTTTTTTTCCAAATCAGTGGTAAATGTAAAAAATGACTTTTAATAAGAATTACATGTAATAGTTTGAAGAGCATCTCCCGCCCCCCTCAGAGGTAAGGCATATCATTTTATTTTATAACGCGAAACTTAGCAGATTGGTTTTTGACTGTTGGAATTGTAAACTAAACGCAAATGTCAATGTCATTTATAATCTATGGTTCTGCTAAAACGTCACTATCTCTATGTCATGTCGACTGCCCCTTTTTCTTCCCTTTGCCTTTTTGTGACCGATGCCGATGCATAGCTGTAAGAATAAATCCTTTTTGATCCGGTTACAATCTTTCATTTTTCAAGATAGCCAACATTGACATCTTTAATATAATGGATTTCTGCAAAGTAACGCCTGATTCTATAATTATCGTTGTCTTCCTGCCATACTTGTATGTCAAATCGTCACAACTTGCGAAAGATCCAGTCCAGCCGTGGACCTTTGCATACTAACGACGCATAATACAAACCACTAAACAATAATAAACAGAAATCTGCTATAGCTTTATAAACAAACATCAATGGCAAAGTCTATTTTTGTACTATAAAGCGGCGAGATACCCAGCTGACATTTGCCAGATGTGCGCTATGACATATTGTTAGTCTACGTTTACTTTCATAGACAGCCGCGTGACCTAGTGTTTAAAAGACGAGACCTAGGTTATAATTCCAGCCAAAGCCAACATATTGTGCTAAATCGCAAACGCTTGGTTTTCAATTCTAGTTGTGTCGTCTAACAATGCATTAAATATCAACCTCCTTAGTTGGTGGAACCTTATCTGCCCGAGACTGCGTCGCCGTGAAAAGTGCAAACTGTCTAATTTGAGTAGTATTAAAAGGATTTTTCATTAAAAGTTTTAAAAATGTATATGTTTAGTCAGTGGGCACGTATAAGATCGCCACCGTCACTATATCAGATTTGATAGACCACAAATCTTCGCTAAAGAACACCGATTCCTTCCAAGGATGATTACCAAAGCTAGTGAAGTTAAAAAAAAACATCCTAATTACGGTAGAGAAGATAGCTGGGTGCTACCATCTGCTTGGGATCCTATAATTAAATCCCTAACCTAGCAGTTTATACTGCGTAGATCGGAATAAAAATTAATAATTTTAATCTGGAGGTAGCCGTGGTTAACTAATAAGTACACCACATCAGCCCGTAATCGCTCAAACGCTGGACACCATCCTCTCTCATCACCATCGTTCATTATCACTAAAGCCCTTCAAGAGTTCACTGTTACGTTGGCCGCCTTCCCCAATGAATTCCACAAAGTAAGGTTCTGAGTCGCCTGCCTCCGGACGCCTCTCATAGATTTTCAATACTCTCATACTTGTGCACGTTGCAAGTTATGCACGCTGCTAGTTGAGTATTTGTATTTATACGTTATGGTTACACTGCCATCTATCGGCGACCGCACGTACCACTAGGAAGAACGCTAGCCTAAATAGTCTATTTTTTTGTAGACGTCCAGAAAAAAATCTGTACAGTATGCATTGCAAATGCTTTCCTAATAGTTTATTCTACAAACAATTTCTTGATAATTATAACTTACTAACATTAGAATTGGGATGAAGACAACTTGAAATAACGTTGTTTTATGATTTGTGTCAGAACAATAAACACTACAAAAACAGGCCGCGAGGAATGCTACACCGCTATCGCAAAATCAATTTCATTTTCGCCAATCGTAAAACACCCAGACTGTGACGATGGGCAGCGGCAAAGGTGCAAGACTTTGCATACTTCAAAGCACTGCCAAGCGTTTGCCAAGCAAATCCCAATAAGGGTAGAGTCCAATGTCCAGCGAACTGGAATTGGTTTATGAGGGGGAAGAAGCGGTTAAAGCCAACATCTAAACACTAAAGACGAACACGTAGGTAAGCTGTAGTAAGTACACAAGCCTTACTTCATCACAGGCGTGGCAGCGAGGCTTGAGCCGCTCGGAGTAATGCCGCACGCAGTACAGCCGGCCGTCCAGCGCGCAGTACGCGAGCTCCACCAGCAGCTCGTCGCATTCAGAGCACGTGAAGCAAGCTGGGTGGAACGCCACCTGAATCAAGTCACACAAAATATTTATTTGCGTTTGAACTTGCCATACGTGGCAGACCGACGCTGCAGCTATATTATGGCTGTAGCAACAATGGATAGGCTTGACCGGAGTAAGTATTTCGTATGGTGAGTGCAGTTTTAGTAAAAAGGGTATAAAAGGGGCCGGCTCTCTGCACTCACCTGTAGCACGGTAATATTATCTATACAGTATTCCAACTTCATACAAACGGACGAAGCGAGAGCTATACCTACGCGCCTCGATCTCGGCATGCGCTCGGCACGCAGACAGTCGAGACTGTACCGCAGTCATGATTTTGTGAAATATATAAAAAATGGAGGAAATAAATAATAGAATAGAAATAAAGAAATAATAAATCTGAACTTCATTCAAAAACAAACATATAAATTGTAAAGTAGCTGCAAGTATCTATAACCAATTAAAAGATATTCCTTTTCTCAATGTTGTCCATGTTTCCCAAAATAATTTTTAATTTATATTATTTTTTAGCTTTATATTAGAAAGCGGATTTTTTATATTTAAAAATCTAATAATAAAGCATTTCGTAAGTCTCAGCCGAGGTGCAAATATTTTTCGGTCGCAAATTTATTTAACCGATTTGTTATTCAAACATAAACATGGTTTTTTAATTAAATGTACTAATCAAAAAACGACACGCATTTTTATTGAACACTTCCTATTCAATTCACAAAGTACCTATTTTATTTGTTTATATAAAAAGTATATTTACAATCATAAAACTAAATGGAAACACAAAGTAGGCAAATGTAAAATTGCTGGAGGCAGGTAGCCCTATCGCATGTTTACGTGCCGCACGACTGTAGGCATTTATTTGAAAGATACGGCCGAGTTACAATACTGTATAGATAATATTACCGTGCCTGTAGACACTTTTTACTGGAGGCATTTCATCTTATTCCTAAGGAATGACAACACATCTGGCGTTTTTATAATTAATCTAGGATAGATGTAGGTGTCGATGGGCCACAACATCCACCTATCATTGTGTGAACAGTGTTTGTAATATCATTTGACACCAAGCAGCAGTAATTCATTAATTAATTTATTCATTAATTCCTATAAAAAAGTCCACTGAGAAACTTACGCCTTCCCATAAGGGGAATATCTGCCATAGTTGCCAGGCTTGGCAGGCGGTATGGCAACACCAGTTTTTACTTTCTGGTCGTTGTTAGGAAGACACTGCAGCCCATCTCCTTATTTGTTTCCCTCTGTCGCCTCTAACGACACCCACGGGACGATATAGTGTAGTGGATATTTTTTACATCACCACTACACGGCAGCTGCAATGTCAGCGTTCATTTCATTTACTTGTTGGTAGAACTTCTTTTCTGCCTCGAAGTTCGTCTGGTAAGATAATCAGCCTCTCACCTATTCCTACCAGCAAGTATTTCTGTATTGATCTAAAGGGTATATATATAAAGGGTTATTTTTCAAAGAGTAGCCAAATTTTAAACTTCTGTTCAAATATATAAATAATGATATACCATTACTGCAGGTTTTAAAAATACGAGTAAACAACTCTACTTTTATTTGAAATTATCCCAAATTGAATGTGATTTATAGGCAATAACGTTGTTGCCTACCGATCGACCCTTATGAATGCGTGCGTGCGCAGTAAAATCTGTTAAAATAATGCATTACCATAATATACTTTGAATTTAAAAGATAAAAAGGACAGAATGTTTGAGATTTTTTTTTAAATAAAAATTGTCTTCACTATTTGCCTATATTATTTATTCTGAACCTTCTCTGCAAAATTGGCCGGTTATTGCAAAATAACCCCATAAACATGTTATTTTGCAATAACCGGAATAATTATAAATATAGAGATAATTAACATTTAAGTAATTGAGTAGTATATACCTATACCACTCGTTCCTGAAACCCGACGCATTGCAGTCGTAGAAGTAATAATTATTGCATTAATATCGTTTTCCGTTTTGGAAGAATTATATTGTTTAAATGGGAATGTTAATACAACATGCATTTAAGTTAAATGATATATAACTTCCACATAAATTAGTCGGTACGACACGCGCGCCACCTACTTTAAGTTAATAGTATTATTCTATAAACTTCACGGAAGTACATGCAATATGTTGACATATACCTACTTCTTAATATGGAATGAGATTTGAATATTATTATATTGTTTAATTAATATTTCAAGTTTCGGTGTTCACGTTCTGCAGTAGAGGAATATTTATATATTCATTTTGTGAGTTTTAGCTATAACTTTATAGTAACGTAGGAGAGAGGAATTTTAAACGGTTTATTTGGAACTACCAATCAATCAATATTATTTAAGCTCCATAGATAAAGAATGCATAACGTGCCATCTAGTGGTAAATAGCAACACTACTATTAACAAGTAAATATAAAGTGAACTCACCTCTTCACCTATCCGTGGGGCTTGCACTATAATACTTCCATTACGTATAGGTTTACTGCACCCCATGCATTCAATTGAGGCACCATGATGCTGGCAAGCAATACCTAAGAAACAGTATCTTCAATATAATCTATGTAAATACATACAAAAAGTTTCACAAGTTAACAGTTATAATTATTTTCAACGCTAGATGGCGCTGCTATACGTACCAATATCAAGTGCAATTTCGTTTCTAGCTGATACGAAGTCTTCAAATTGCTTTCGATGGGATTCGTCTATATGTTGACAGTGAGATAGAGAGAGATCTTGTTTTGGTAATTGAGTAGCTAAGGCACGTGTTCTCCAAGCTCGCCATGCCGCCGCTCCGGTGGCGCCACCTACACTAGTTGGTGCTCGCTCTGCTAGCGATGCCCAGAATAGCTCCGTCTGAAATAATTACATACGTTTTGGATAAATTAGATTTAAATACAACCATATGAAATAAGACATTCCTCTCTATGACGGGAAATGTCCATATTCTGAATTTTACGAATTACGAATTGCGATAATAATGCTGAAGATGCAAAAATATTATTTAGCTATTTTTGAATCGAAATGTTCCATATCACTTACAGGTAGTCTTTTCAAAGACAGATATAGAGATAATTGACACATAATTAAACGATAATCAACAATTTTGTAGCTAATATTCTCGTTGATTATTAGTAAGTCCGTCGGTATACCCACTGTTTGCCGTAAAGCTGTTATCAACACACATATTTGGCCGAATATTTGTCATAATTGATTACCACATAAACAGTTCAGGTCTATATTTGTAACGAATAAAGTTTATAAGGTTATTACTTTTTACAACAAAATAATTATTATTTTCTGTCGGTACATGAAGTGAAAACAGAAATACGAATTAAATCTGCCAAATACTGCAATTCAATTATGCAGCTCTTTCTTTCTTACAATAAACATTGATTAAATAAAAAAGCTTCCTTCCAAACAATAAAGACCTGATGAGGTATATCATAAAGAGTTCACTGTTAAATCAAGTTTTTTTTTATAGAATTACAAACGAGTTTAATTTAGTATACTATAAGTTTAATTTATTATATATTTATTAGTTTAATTTATTCTCCATTAAGAATCTAAATGCAGATGCGTTGTCAACCCTGAGGACTAAGATGGAATGCCTCCTTTTCGGTAAAAAGAGCTTGGTTCTCTACGTACGAAACACAGCAGCATAAAGATGCTATTTTACGCTGGTATTCTGTGAGAGCGTGGTCCTCCCCCGATCGAATCGACCCATTCATGCTACAACCATAATATAGCTACAGCTTGGCTCTATCTCTACCACAAGTTAAGTAAGTTACTTATAGACAGTCATACATTTATGATAACCATGGTTTTATCTACTGTTTACGGGGGAATAAAATAACGGTCCCAAAAGCATAAAGATACACAGTAAATTTCAACTACACAACTACTATTTTCATAAGAAGTTTCACCTTTGAGTATTCAACCAACTACTCAAAGGGTTTCATTAATCAATCAAATGAGGTGATCGCTACCATACTGTTTCTAAATGTTTTCATAATTTTATTTATTTATATAGATTCACCATCGACAATATCAATAAACATTGTTACAATCAAAATACTACATTTTTATGTCTCTACAGGTGTATACATCATTATAAGAGAAAAAAAGTAAACAACATATAAACTCTAAAACAAAAAGAAATCAAACTAACCAATCAAAGTAAAAGCACCACATCCAGTAATAATTACAATAAATAATAATTTTAGTTGTACTATATAGTATATAACGTAAATTAATGTATAAAAACAATTCCGTTGGGTTTCTTGTTGGTTCTTCCCAGGATAAAGATTTTTCCAAACTAGTATTTTTCAGTACCGGTAGTTTTTGTAATTTTATCTCTTTATATAAAAATCAATGGATGTCCGTTAGTTTCGCTAAACTCGAAAACTTTTTATGTAATTTTCATAAATTTTTTGTACGTCTCTGTGGACCCCGGATGGTTTACATTCATCACTGAACCCGGTAGATGGCGCTGTTGCCGAAATCCAAAAATCACCTGTTCGAAGCCGGGGCGGATCGCTAGTATTGAATTAAATTAATTCTCTTCTATTCTAAATCACGCTCACTCGTATGTAGCACACATCTCAGAATCACTTTTCTACTTTAGTACTACTTTGCCGAACATTGGGAGACTTAGCCGATTATTCCGATATACCGAATATGAAACGAATATTTGGCCCATCCCTAATACAAATATATTTACTGGTAAGCGAGCATCTCTTGGTCCGTAAGGGTGACAACGCTTCTGCATTTTGATTCTTTATTTAGGATGTAGATGTATGAGTGTGTGGATCACAGCATCCATTTACCATCAGGTGGACTGTGTGCGCGTTAGTAACTTTTATTTGCATAATAAAGTAATCGAGAAATAGAATCAATTGTAAATAACCAACAAATTCGTTTTAAAAAAACAAGTCCGTAAGTATGTGATTAATTCGTTGCAAGTTTGAAATAACACAGCTCTTTTTTTTCGTATATATTTCATATTTGTTCTGACATAGATAACCTATTGTATATATATATATATATATATATATATATATATATATATATATATATATGTGTGTGTGTGTGTGTGTGTGTGTGTGTGTGTGTGTGTGTGTGTGTGTGTGTGGTGTGTGTGTATGTGTGTATTGTTTATGGAGTTGGGCCGATCACTATCCAATGATAAATTCAAATGATGGAACAAAAATTCTTCCAGATATCCAGAAATGTCCCGTTTACCTTTGCTGACCCGCCAGCTCTGTGTATAGTGAGAGACTTTTTTCTGAGGCAGGGAATATCCAGTATCTACGAAACAAAAAGAAATCGACTTCAACCAGAAAAGGCTGAGATTTTGGCCTTTTTGCATCACAATTTTCCACTGGTTAAAAATAACAAATAAACTAAATATTTTCTAAAAAGCCTTCAATACTTTTTCAAATTGAGTTTTTTTTTGTTAACAAATTATTGTAGATTCTTTATTTAATAACATCCAAGGAAAAAAACACAATTTATTGTAATTTTAAGTACAGAAAATAACAATTTGATTTAATTTTTGTAAAAAAAACAATAACAATTTAGTTTTAAGTACAGAAACAAGTATCTTCTATTTGTCTTTTAAAAATAGTTTAACAATCTTTATTCAAGAATTAAGTATCATTTTTTGTTATGCAAAGGAGAGACTTCAAAAAAATTTTTTTTAAAGTTTATTAAGAATAATATTATTAATATTTTATTTTGTTGTGTCACTACTCTGATACTAATTAGAAAAAGTTAAAAAGTAGAATTAAAATAGTAAGTACTTAGGTATTTGTTTAGTTTTAAACAGCTACCTCAGATTCTTTTTTTTTTTTACTAAAGTTCCTATGTCCAGAATAATTAAAATTAAAACGTAAAAAGTATGAACCTACTTATTTTATTATTTGTTTGATTTACATTCATATAAATCTGACGTGAGTTTACGCATGGGAGAGAAACTATACTTTTCATAAATTTAAAGCTTTAATCATATCAATGTAGTCGCAGGTACCACGCAGAAAATCACGAAAAACCTTTGCTGAAATTAATAAAATAAAAAGCCGATTAATCGCCGACTAATCGGTGACTACAAATAGGCCGATTAATCGGCTTCACCGATTAGTCGGCGGCTAATCGGCCCAACTCTAATTGTTTATTATATATATTTTTTTATCCTCTCTATTTGTTATTGCTGCACCGCCTCCAAAATGTCTATCTCTGTTTAGCCTAATGGTTGACTGGGAGAGAATGCCCTATGGCATTAAGTCCGCCATATGTACTACTTTGTGCATAAAAGCATAAATAAATAAATGAATAAATAACCTGATTATTGAAAAATTGCTTGCTTTTTAAGATTAAGTTTAACAGCGGTATAAAGACAGTTACACAATGGTGATGTAATAGAACCGCACAGAAATCTCTCTATGTTAAACGATTCTGTTATTAGGCTTCACGTAAAGAGGTTAATATCTTCAGCTAATAAGTATGGTTTACCTGCTTTGCAGTGAGACCGGGCGGACTATCATACGCGTGGTGATTGACGCGCGTGTCCCTGAGCCCCAGGCGGTCGCGGACCGAGCCCAGCTCTTCGTGGTACACCGAGTGCTGCAACCGATCGCAACCACATGACTTGCAGGTCTTCCTGTAAAGAAAAATAATTTATATAAACAAATTTGTTTAAAATAACTAAATTGACGAATCAGGTTTAAGATTAAAATTCAACTTCTAGATGTAAAATCTCTTTCTTATGCGTATGGAACTGCAGTTGCAGGTAGGTTAGTTAAATATGTCTTTAAAATACACTTTATAATTTTTCAGATCTTCTAGTATAATATCAAGCTTATTATTAAACTGGCCCTCGCGACTTCGCCCGCGTGGAATTTATTACAATCATGGGTTTAAATTTTTTGCGCGGTACCCTACCTCTTTTACTTAAATAAATGTAGTATAAGTTACTCCTTATACCTAGGTGGATTGAAAAGTACTCGGCCTAACACAGATCCATTCAATTCTAAAAATCAAATCTACCCACATTATTTAGTTCAGTTCAGACTAGTTCATTGCGTGAAGTTCGAAACGTGTGCGATAATTAGTTGTGATTTTATAAATTTATTAACAAAGTAATCGGACATAATTTCCGCGAATGGAGCAAATCGAGCAGCGTGCCGTCATTAAGTACCTCCATAAGAAGGGGCTATCATCAAAAGCCATCCATGATGACATGGTCAGTACATTAGGTGATTGTGCTCTGTCATATTCATCCGTCAAAAAATGGATAGCAGAATTTAAGCGTGGTAGAGAGAGTGTGAAAGATGAACCCCGCTCTGGAAGGCCTTCGACGTCAACTACTGACGAAAATATTAAAAAAGTACTTGATTTAATAATGAGAGACCGCAGATTAAAAATTAGAGAGATAGCCGAGATTATAGGCATCTCTTATGAACGAACTCAAAACATCATTGTCAACGAGTTGGGTTTCCACAAGGTGTCTGCGAGGTGGGTTCCGCGACTGCTTTCAGTTGAACAAAAAAGGACGCGATTGACTATTTCACGCGACTGTTTGAAGTTATTTGAAGCCGATGCAGATGATTTTTTGAATCGTTTTGTTACTATGGATGAAACATGGATTCATTACTGTACACCGGAAACAAAACAACAATCAAAACAGTGGAGAAGACCTGGTTCACCACCCCCTAAAAAAGGCAAAGTCGATTTTGTCGGCAAATAAGGTGATGGCTTCAGTATTCTGGGACTCGAAAGGTGTGATTATGATTGATTATCTTGAAAGGGGTCAGACTATAAACTCTGATTACTACTGCACCTTACTACGTCGTTTACGAGAGGAAATAAAAGAAAAACGTCGAGGAATGCTCAGAAGAAAAGTCCTGTTTCATCAAGATAACGCCCGTGTTCACACGTCAGTACAGTCAATGGCTGAAATTCACAACTGTGGCTTTGAACTGTTACCGCATCCGCCGTATTCACCTGATCTGCCACCATCAGACTTCTTTCTGTTCCCTAACCTAAAAAAGCACTTGGGAGGTCAAAGATTTTCAACAAACGACGAGGTCAAAGCAGCTGTAGACGCATATTTTGACTCTAAGGAACAATCATTTTTTTTCAACGGTCTAAATGCTTGGAAGGGGAGGTCGCAAAAGTGTATTGAACTTGATGGTGATTATGTAGAAAAATAAAAATATAACTGATTTAGTACCTATGTGTTTATTTTCTTGGTTAGGCCGAGTACTTTTCAATCCACCCTCGTAACATCTGCTATCTGCCAGTGAAAGTTCTGTCATAATGGGTCAGATAGACAAACATTTTAAAAATTGTTTTCTCGTTATTAGTACCGCATATACTTTCATATGCATTTAGTAAAAAAGATTTCTTATTTGATATATATCTTATTTACATATTATTTATTTGTATATATTACAATGATTGTGCACAAATTACAATGAAAATCTCAATACTGCTAGCGATTGAAATTTCATATTTCCCGCAGTGTTAATTGACGTACCGTTCGTTGTACCTTTAACATAATAATTGAACTCTCTCAAAAGTTTAAACCGACTTCAAAGATCTAAAAGAATATAGTCATCTAAATCGGTTGACCATAGTTAATAATTTGCCCATATGCAGTTCAGATGACTTTGAAAATTGAATACTTTGATGATATGAACTTTGATGATGAACATACATTGTATATTGAGTGCAATTAATTATTTCAATATATAGATATGTATTTTATTTTTCGTAAGTATATAATATGTATTCTTTTTTTATCATACCAATTTGCCATACCCCTGTCAACCCGCCCATTGCATACTTCTTTTGTATATATGTTGCATATTCTGAAATTTTTGTATGGTGTGCAATAAAGAATAATAAATTTAAAAAAAGGAATATTACGACGATTATTAAACCTCTTCCTTTTTTGAAGTCGGTTGAAAACTATTTATGTTAGGGCTGTCTGAAAATAAGCACCGAGAGACTTATATAAAGCATAGCAAAATGAGAATGACAATTGCAATACCAGATGTCTTACAACTTTCGCTGCTCTCCACCACCATTTCTGGTATTTGAGGTCTAACCTCTATTGTATAATGTCTCGTTACTTCGATATTTATGTTTCATTAAAAATATTTTTGTTTCATCAATCGCGAGATTTTTTTAAATTCTACTGATTTGGGATAAAACTTTGAACTACTGTCCTGGAAATAAACGCGATAGAGCCACAATGCAGATGTGCTGAAACAGGAATGGGTCGGCTCGACCAGGGAAGGACCACGCTTTCACAGAATACCAGTATATAAACACCGTAGAACCTTTTTACTGGTAACGAGTTGTTAGTTTCTGTTAGTTAATCGAAGACAGATGTAAATTTGGTCTGAAGCCGCAGCATCCCCATACCATCATGTGGGCTGTATACTATTTTTCATCCTCATTATATTAAAAAAATTGCCATTTTGTTTCTTAATCGAGGATAAAGGTAACTCTGGTTTAAAGCAGCAGCATCAACTCCGTGTGATAAAGCGAATTATTTATAAATCTTTTTTTATAGCATTGGTGACAAACGAGCACATAGTCCACCTAATGGTAAATGGATGCCGTGGCCCATAGACATCCACATTTATCCTCAATTAAAAATCAAAATGCAAATGCGTTTTCACCCGTGAGGACTAAGATGGAATGCCTCGTTTCCAGTAAAAAGGGTCTCCGGTTCTCTACACTCACCATACTAAACACAGCAGTATTAAGCTGCTATTTTACGCTGGTATTCTGTGAGAGCGTGGTCCTACTTCGGTCGAGCCGACCCATTTATTCTACAACTAAAATATGTATAGCGGTAGCGTAGCTCTACCACGTAAAATCTGTTTGATAAACGTAAACGTCACTGTCGGGAATAATCTTAAAGTTAACAGGTAAGTGCTAGTATTTCTACGACGGCCCTCAGTGTATAGATACGCGCCCTTATGCTAATTGCTCTGATATAAATAGACCAGACGAGTGCAGGAGTACCAACAGTTCATAAGTGTTCAGATTGATCTTTTTAGTGGAATATGCTCGCCAATAGGGTGAAGTACATTTATAAATAGATTGAACACTTGTGGTAATATTAATTATTAATACTTCATGTATAATTCAAATAAAATCATTTTTTATGGAAATATATTATAAATATAGCAATTTTAATTTATAGCAAGCGTAATGGTGTCGTACGAGTGATTTCTGAATCTTGACAACAGCGCCATCTACCGGGTTCAAAAATAACTAAGAACCATCTAAGTGACTTTATAAGTACCCCATAAAAATTTCATCATAATTGGTAAAGCCTTTTAATAAGAGAACACCGGATTTTTATATGGATACTTAGCTTACCTAACTTAGCTGAACCCGGCAGGCGATGTCTTCCCAGTTAATATCATAGGTTGTGTTCAGCAATGTTTTTTTATTTTATTTTAGCGCATGCAATTTTATTTGTTAATTGCCGCGCTTGATTGAAAAAAGAAATCCAAAATTTTGAATTTTCTGTTTCTATTCATAAGGGAATTCTTTTTCTTTTTTTTTTAGTTTATTATACCTAATATAAAACTTTTCCATTGAAAAAAAATCAAATAATTTATCTTTTAAGTTTAACAAAAAAAATCAAATTGATTTTGGGTTAAACTATTCATATATTATAGGTACAAATATCCTCTTTTATATGTGTGGATACACCACGATAGGCGGCACAATGTGCGAAGCTTGCTAGTGAATTTCACAGATTGAGCCATAGACAATCTAACATAGTAATACTATAATGAAAATTTTGCAAACTAAATAATTAATGCACTAAAATGATAAAATTACATAATATGTTTAGTTTTATTACTGAACACATCATACCAAAATATCCGCGATCTGTTTAAAAGCTTATCTTATCTTATCTTTTATAAACGAATATTTCACCAATGTCGCCCATGAACATCTGCAACACCAGGGGAATTACAGGTATGTTGCCGGCCTTTTGGAAAGGAGTTGGCTCTTTTCTTGAAAGCCACTAAGTCTTATCAGTCCGAGAAAAGAGCTGGCGACAGTAAACTCCACAGTGTGGTCGTGCGTGGTAGAAAATTCTCCGTGTAAATCGCACGGCAGTAGACCACCAACCATCGAGATGATGAGAAAGGGATTTCGAGTTCTGTCGAAGTGTATAAAAAAAATTACCAATTTTGTCCGGAAACTTGACTCTTTGTTTATCGATTCGAGATGATGAGGAAGGAATTTCGAGTTCTGTCATAATATGACTTTTTTCACTTGATTCTTTCTTAATAATGGTTTATACTTTATATGGATAAACTTAGGATCTGTTGTGCGTTATAAACTAAGTTTAGGATAGTTTTTTATTATCTACGAGGTTTATGCAGCTAATTCTAAACAGTGTGGCGGATCTGTCACAACAACCGATAAAACACGTTATCTAAGTTTCTGAACGACTACTAGCATAGAACCGTCGTACTATTTATCTGTCATCACGAAACATTAGCCATTACTCGGGCTGCGGAACACACTGGCTTGCGGGAGCAAATCCGACTCAACTTAACTACAGGATTTGCCCAAAGGGAAAATTAAGGGAGGTGGAATCAGAGCTATGTTTCATGA